CTTTTTCATTAAATGTGTAATGATCAAAATATATAATCCGGTTCTATAATCCAATTCTAATATTATTCTTGTATGTTTCTGTTTCTTTATGTACTAATTTTGACTGAACCTATATTACCAAGGTTATTGCAGTAATACCAAAGCCCTAGGTGATTAACGTGGTGGCATTTGGGTGTTTAGATTGGAAGCATGTAATGAAATCTTATTATGTGAATTTATTGACAGTTTTTCATAAAATTATCAATACTTTGTTAATAACTTATTGGAGACAAGATACATCAGGGTAAGGGTTAAAAAAGGTTACCACAGAAGAACCACTTTTGATTCCATAAAGAACCTTTTTTAAAGATTAAAAAATCTGCACATACTGTAAAGGTCCTAAAATTAAAGTTTTTGCCTAGAACCATACATCCAAGGAGCCTTTAAGAGTAGCAGTATGTATAGTATAATGTATAAGCACAGTATAATGTGTACAATCACAAGACAATATAAACAAATAAAAACAAATTAGTACTCTTAAAGGATTCTTTGAGTGATGTCATTAAAGAAACAATTTAGTCCCACAAAGAACCATGTTTGAAAGACCTTTAAAGCTGTAAAGAACCTTCACGTTTTATTATGGTTCTATATCAGTTTAAGGGTTCTTTCTAGTAACTTCACATTATATAGATGTCCTTTAAACTTACTTTAAGATTCCAGAAACAAAAAAAGATACCAGCAAAATCAGCAAATAGAAAAAATTTAAAGCAAAAACTGGCAAAATTAGTAATACATTTATATCGGAATGAGTGATAATTAGTACTTATCTTTGAGCTTGATTAACTATTTTAGTTAAAGATTTAATTAACTCATTAGCTATGAACTATTTTTGACATTGTCTAATGTCCATAATAGAAACTGGGAAAAAGATTCACACAGCCCATATTTTCACTGTTGATCTGATACCTCTCAAACTGTTTGAATGTGTCTGCATTGACCAGCAATAACGAGCAAAAAGAACAAACGGCACCTTAATCACATTTTCTCATTTTCGTTACCATTAAAATTATTTCGGCACTTCACTGTAGACCTTTTTCTCTTTCGTTACAAAATTCTGCAGTTCCCACTCTTTTAAAGCTTCTCCCTGAGTCATTGTGTAGGAGTGTATGTGGAAGGTATGTGTGCAAGACATTGCTTAGAGACTGAAATCTCACACAAAGAGGTTAGGACTGAAAGGAAAATAAGGTCACCATGGTAATGGAGGTCGCAAAAAAGGCTGTGGACTGAGGGATTTGGGGCGGCTTCTACAGCTGGCCAGAATACACACACATGAACATGTCCACTCTTTTCAATCTTTTCCCTCATTGCTCCTTTGAGAACCAAGCTGACCACAAAAGGTGACCAAGAGAACAGAACAAAAGGATTTTGGATAAGGGTGAGGCACTGAGCCCTGAGTTCCATTCCCTTCGCCTCCCTCTGAGATGCTCCGTTACAGGGGTTTCCAGTGCTGGTCCTGGAGGGCTTGGAGAGTCCAGCATATTTTAATGATTTTCCTGGTCAAACACACCTGCTAAACCTTGTAACTAAATCTTGAGCTGTGAAATCAAATGGACTTGAAACGCAAATGAAAGCTTGTACTATATAGACCATATAGTGATTCTACATGTAAGTTTTGTTCTATTTTACTGTACATATTATCATGTCACACTGTCACACTGGCTGCAGTAGAGCAAGCCGGATATAATATGGAAAAAGAAATATTAAAAAATCCTCCATGTATGAGCACTTTGAAATTTGTGATGATTCCAGGAATGTAGAATGTAAGCTCTGCAAAAAGTGTTTACACAGTACAGCTTTCAATATGATGCATCTAAAAAACGTAAGCATCTGAAGCATTGTTAGGCTAAATTATATCTGTTCATGCTTGCAAAGTGTAATAAAAACATATACTGTAACATATAGGCTTCCATTTAATGTACACACGGTATTACGTTATTTATGTATTAGCCACCTAAGATCATCTAAGAAAATCCTTACTCATGGACAACTCTAGAAACTGGACTGAGGCCCTTTAGGCCAGGAGTTGGACACCCATGATCTTTTTGAATGGCTGGGTGGAGCAGAGCTATAAGCCAGAAGTCCTCAGCATCTAGGGCTGGTGTAGCAGTGTTCAGGGATCCATTCAACACTGAGCTTTTTGTGTTCTTTGCCTTTCCAAACCATCATTACCACATAAACCCCATTAAGAGATTCTGGGATTTTATTTGATGATTAATATCCTGCTTTGCTGCAAGTGTAAAGGTGTAGCACTGATTTGCAGTTCAATTCAGTTCAACTTTATTGCCATTATAGAAAAACAGCATAACAACAAGCTTTCTCACTGTTCTCATTGGTTCAACATGATGCACAAAAACACAAAGAGTTCAGAATAAAACAATGTAGACACAATACGACAGTGCAGGACAGTGACACACAGTTAAGGTAGTATATATAGGACAGTATATAATTGACAGTGTGAAGCAGTATACGGGCAATACTGTACAGTGTGAGGCAGTACATGGGCAATACTGTACAGTGTAGGACAGTGCATAGAGCGGTACTGTGCTATGTAAGGCAGTGCATACAGAAATACTGTGCAGTGTGGAGCAGTGCGTTGAGCGATACTTTACAGTGTAAGGCAGTGCATAGAGCAATACTGTGCAGTGTAAGGCAGTGCATAGAGCAACACTTTACAGTGTAAATCAGTCCACACAGTGCAGCACTGTACAGTGTAAAGCTATACACAGTGCAATACTATACAGTGTAAGGAAGTGCATAGAGCAATACTGTGCAGTGTAAGGCGGTGCATAGAGCAATACTTTACGGTGTAAAGCAGTCTACACAGTTCAGTACTGTGCAGTGTATGGCTGTACACAGTGCAATACTATACAGTGACAGGCAGTGCATAGAGCAATACTGTACAATGCATGGCAGTCCATAGAGCAGTACTGTACAGTGCATGGCAGTACATAGAGCAATGATATGCAATGTAAGGCAGTACACAGTGGAATAATGTACAGTGTAAGGTAGTACACAGTGCAGCACTGTTTGGTGTAATGCAGTATGCAGTGGAATACTATACAGTGAAATGTAGTACTGTTCATAGTTCAGTATTGTGCAATATAGGACAGTACATGCAGGGCAATACTCAGTGTAAGTGCAGTAATAGACAGTGTAGGGCAGTACACATAATAGAATACCGGACAGTGTAAGGCAATACACAGTGCAGTAGTGGACTGTGTAAAGCATTACACATAGTGCCATACTGGACAATGTAAGACAATACACTTAGGGCACTATACTGGAAACATAGTACTCAGAACATTATACTCAAACAGTATTGTATTGTATGCATAAAATATTTTAAATGTGTAATGTGTGACTGATAATAGCGTACACGTATTTTCCAGCAAATTATCCTCATTTGGAGCTGCTCAGTGCATAGTCTGCTTGGGAAAAAATGTAATTAATTTGATTCAAATGTGGACATCATTTCCACATGAACACAAAGCACACACTTTACATAGCACACTTAATATATTACATAGCACACTTATCTTACAGCACTTTACCACTGCCTGCCTCAAGAGTTCATATGTGGTCAGTACTGTTGATGAGTTGCCCGTGCATTCTTTTACATTATGAGCTGGACAGTGGAGATAAGGTGAGCGGGGTATTCTGGTTGTGGCTGGTGATCAGTGGGCTGAGGGTTTCTCTATAGCCGTCTCCCTCACTGTAAAAGAGCTTTTCTCTGATAGTCTGTCATCACCCATCAGTACGGATGAAAACCTAAAGGTGTTCTCTCCCAGAATAGCTGCGTTTGTGCCCAGCTCCTGGCGCTGTTCCAGAGTGACCCTGGAGCCCGCAGGCACACAGGATCTATTGTGCAGCGTGGTGGACAATCATTAGAGCTAATTAGAGGCCGAAACCCATCCGCTGGATTGTGCGGGCCGTGGAGCCGCTCAGACGCTTTGGCTTGCTGTCTGAGAGGAGATAGCCCTGCCAGCTCCATATCTCTGCAGGATCCTGTGGAGTTGGGTCCAAGTGAAATGGGTGTCAGTGACTTTGAGAGGATTATCTGCCACCTGCTGCGATGAGAATAAAGCTCAAAGTCCTTGTCAGACTGGCAGGCTTATTCTCGTTTAGCCGGGCACATCATTGCCTTTTTTAACTCATTAAACTGTAAACTGTAATTAGGTCCTGACCCATCTATGAGCCCTTAGGGATTTAACCCTTAGATGTCGAGATTATTGTGGTTTTACAATACTATTCAATGTAATTGCATTTTTAATGACATAGTAACTATAAATAAATAAATTACATTCAATGTACATTCGGTTTCAGCAGGTTGGAGTCTGCACTTCTGATTTTTTCTGTTGGTTTTGATGTTAAAACATGAGGTTTTTAGTTTAGGATAGTTTACATTATCACATGTAACAAGACTGTACACATAACTTTTCATAATATTCTTCTAGCTGACCCTCGGCATTAGGCATGTTGACCATAGGTTCATGTGTGGCTGCTCCAGAGCATCACTTTGTATGCTTTACAGTGGGGATTATACAAGGTTTGTGTGCACAGTTGAACGCCTGTGTCAGCAATTGGTGTGCCTTAATGTAGCAGAATTTACTAATAAGAAGAATGGGTGTTTGAATACTTTTGGCCATATAGAGTATGTATATTGTTTATGCTATATATATGCTATATGCCTCGTTGGTTAGGGTGCACTCAACTGTGTGCCCCAGAGTAGATGTACTGTAGGTTTACTGTAAACCTACAGCATTAAAATCACAGTAACTATTGTAAAGACACAGTAAGCACTGTATATGCAGTAATACTGGACATATATTTACAGTCAGTCAATGTTTTCATTGCAGAGAGTTTCTGCTCTAGTAAACCTGCACAATTAGAATGATGAACTAACCAGATAAATAGCAATGCATATTCTTTTATTTGAACATGCTTATTTGTTTTTTTTTTAGTTCCCACAACCCGTAAGCCTCTGCCTTCAAATGTTGCTCCTGATGATCGTGAATGTAAGTTTGCATACAGTTTTTACAGTTTAATGTTAAATGTGCTTTTTACACACTTTTTTGTAGGGAATTTCATTCTTACTCTGAACTATATATGTTGTCTCACATGCACTGTTGATTCTTGTAGCATTCATGTATGTGTTGGACACTCCTACGGTGGTGGGCATTGCTTTTGCAGCCTTCGTCATTGGAGCCTTGCTGACTGGAGCCCTGTGGTTCATTTACTCGCACACAGGTGAGAGAGAGAAACTAAACTAACTCAATTTAACCAATCTAATCTGCAGAGGGCCAGTGTGACTGCAGGTTTTCATTTCAACAAAGCAAGAGAATGCATGATTTGTTTTTTAAAGACTGGGACAACTGAATTAAGCAAGTGGTGGTCTGTAAAGCCATTAAATATTTCGTGACATGTGGACGGAGAATTTTTTTCACTTACATTACCAAGCAGAGAAATTGGCATTGTGTCGTGCATGAATTATTGGCTACACAGCACTCACAGTTTCTAGTGGTACTGCTCTGTTAAGTCTGTATCTGTAAGCTTTCAATGTGCACAAATACAGATGAAATGAATGCAGCGTATGGACAGACGACGTTGAGAATGAGCCTTTAGAATATCCTGCTTATGACATTGGAGGTCATATGTACGGCATGATGTGTTCAAGTGGTCTTTGTTGGAATACTTTATTGAAATATTTTGCTTTTTTGTATCGTCAAAAAGAGTAAGTTCATTTTGCATTACTTCACAAAAAGAGCAGCGAAAAAACACTAGAAATGATGACATTGTGGTGATGCTCATGTGTGCTCATCTGGTAAATACTGTATTTCCGCCATGACTTGAAGGCTACATAACACCATGTTTAAAGCTGAGACAAAGGAGTAGCCTGCTGAAAGTGCACATTAAAGCAACTTGAAATACAAAAACAGTGTCCTAAGACACCATAAAATGGTCATTTGAAAAACAAAATGATTTTACTGCAGCATTTTAAAGCAGTTTGCAGCCTAGCATCTCTTAAATTGAATTGGTTCTACTAACTTTAATGTACTTGCAGAGTACACTGTGCAGTTGCATTGGATTGGATTGGTGGCAAAAAAGTGGGACATCTCTAGTTATAAAAATCCATCATTCTTCCATAATAGGAAAGGGAAAAAAAATCCCCTTTTCGATGATGTGCTGACAGCAGCATAACAACAATAACACAAGAGCACTGGCATGTGGTTACTTCCTGTTGGTCAGCCGAAGCTCGGCGCTTCTTCCGTTCTTTCAGTTGTTGGTGGGGCACTGGGTGGCCAAGGGGCTGACTAGAGGTATTCTGGGTACAATGAAACTGCACTGGAATTCCCCGCAGTGAGGGTCTCCTCAGGCCTTGCAGGAAAACACACACACATACACACATATGCACGCCCACACACAAAAACACATGGATGCCAAGATTCACCCCCTTTCCTCACCCTGCTGCCGCCACGCTGACGACCCGCAGTGACCCCTCAGAGGAAGAGCGTGCTCTTTTCTCTCCTTTCCCACCCTGGTACCACCCCTCAGTCGCAGTCCACAGCACCGTTGACCTGCTCTTCCATACCACACTTTTTTACAACAGGCTTTCATTTAATTAGCACGCCAGCTGAACTGTCAGGATGTTTTAAAAGAATAGCTCAGTCAACCTGAATCACATCTACACAATTCACTTCAACTATTAAAATAGACAAATCTAACTAAAGAAGCAAACTTCACACCCTTTGCTGTTTTTTTGGTGAAAGAGTTCTTTTACAAAGGCTTAAACCAGTAATGACTGTTACCATTTGCATTAAGCTCTGAGCCTGAAAAAATGCCTATCGCTGTATTGCCTGCTTGGTTTACTGTTGCACTGAGCAGGCGACTGAGTTTAGCCTTTCATGTTGAGCTGAAATAAAAGCCAGATCAGGTGTCCTCTGAAAGTGGGCTTATCTTTATCCACCTGTTTGTGCTGGAGACAGGCATATTATTCAGCTTTTATAGGCTTCCGCCAGAGAGTGAAGTGAAATGAAAGTCTTTTGATTGGATGGACTCCCAAAGTTTAACTTTGTTTTGTTCTGACGGAAACAGGTGTAAAGAGTGCACTTGGATTTAACACGGCTGGTTTCCACGTTGCGATAAATCCTCTGTAGTGAAGTGTCAAAAAATGGCACTAAAGGTTATCAGTACCTTAAGGTTAAAGCACAGTTTAAAAGCTTTTACTTTTATGTTGCTTCAATTTTCAGTAACTAGGTTGCATTTAATAAGTAATTAATAAGTAATTATGCAGTTATGTAATGAATTAGATTTACATTTACATTGCCCTTAAAAGGAGGTATTTGTGAAATATACCCCTAAAGTTTTTATGGTTTTTAAAACCAGCTTAAAATATTAAATCTTGAACACTGATGTTAAAATAAGGCAATTTTGTTTCCCCTAGAGGCAGAGACTGTTAAAAAGGCAAAAGTTGTGCTGACTCTTTTTGTCTCTCTCCGTCTCTTTATCTCTCTGTCCATGTGATCTATGGAGTGATTCTGCGCTCTTCCACACACTTTTATATAAACACACTTAAGTACTTCAGCTGAAATCCTGTGGCTGTAGGAAACTTGACACCCATTAGTGGTAGACAGGCGGCCTTCTGAAGGCAGCTGTGTAGAGATAAGCATGGGTTAAAAACAATAAACACAAAAAGTGGCAAACATGTGAAATAAGAATGTATAGCTTTTCATCTAATTCAAATAATAAAATAATAGTAATAAAATATCCACTCTTCTACTTACAAACATTATATGTATTGGAAGTTTAGAATCTGCACATTCAACAGAATTTCTCAGCTTGTTTCACCGAGCTACACGTGAGAAATAACCACCAGAGGTGGGAGGATTAGCCTAAACATGTACTGAAGTCTTTAAACTAGTGATAAAGGTAAAAAAAAACAAACAAAAAAAAGAAAAATGAATTACTAAAGCAGCAGGTCAAAAAACTACTTAAGTAGTGAGTTCCTTGCAGCGGAACTTCTTAATACTATCAGCACAGCATAGTCGCTGTTCTTCTCTTTTTTCTTGAAAGAAAAAAGATAAAGCTCTAAGTTGAGAGTTGTGAGCAACACCAAAGCAGTTCAGAAGCAGAACCCACAGAACACATTATATGTATAGAATTATATGCTCCTTTGAAAGCAATGGACTATCCCGTTTGCCGTCAACCACTTACTGTAGGGTAGTGCTAACTAGTGCTGACTTCACCAATTCACCCAAACACTGTTTTCATCTTCATTGTAAAAACAGGCTGCATAGCACACTTTGGAAAGGTTCAAATCGTTTATTTTAGAGGACATTACGTGTGGAATGCAGAGGATGCGATTGCTAAAGAACTGCAGTGATCCTCTTGGCCTCTTTGTTATTTATCACAGTGATAGGTTAAGGAGTTTACCCTCAGGGACAGCGAGCAGTCACAGGAGACAGGGTCAACACACTGCCATTACACACACACACACACACACATACACTTCAGCATATCAGCACATGAAATTCATGGCTGCAGTAGAGGAGGAGGTGTATGTAGGAGTGATGTTGGATGTATGTGGGAGAAAGAGCTGTATGATAAAGAATGTATTATTGCTTTATACTACTGTTCAAAATTTAGGAAACAATGTTTTCAATAATCTAAAAACAGTGTGGTTTAGATACACAGACCAGCCACTTCATCAAGCACACCTCCCTGTTTCTACACTCATTGTTGATTTTATCAGCTCCACTTACCATATAGGAACACTTTGTTGTTCTACAATTATAGACTGTAGTCCATCTGTTTCTCTGCAAACTTTATGATCCCCCTTTTCTCCTGTTCTTCAGTGGTCAGGAGGTGTAGTTGATTCTAACATGGCGAGTGGATCAGAGGATGAGGGGATGAGAGGATGAAGAGAAAGCTCACACTGTAAGCCAGTCTGCAGGCTGTAGTTAGAAGAGCGGCCTTTTTTAGCTCAAGCTGCTTGGCAGCACATCTCTGGCAAACATTAGCGGCAGAGAGGCCTGAAAGGGGGAACCAGACAGACTGAGGGTCCAACAGTGGGCTGAGGAGAAAACACACACGCACAAATAGGGAGAAATGTTCCGTACACAACTGCAGTAATTAGAAAATATGCTCTCTCTCTCTCTCTCTCTCTCTCTCTCTCTCTCTCTCTCTCTCTCTCTCTCTCTCTCTCTCTCTGTCTCCCTCTTTCTCCTTTTGGTCTCTTTCTCTCTCTCTTTCTCTCTTTCTTCTTTAGGCCTCTGCCCCCTCTTTCTTCTTTTAGTTTCTCCTCTCTCTCTGTTTTTACCCCACCCTCCAAGTGCAATCCAACCTGCAGTCGATGTAATGACAAAAAAGACTCTATTTCTCTCTCTCTCTCCTTCTCTCTTTGTCTCTTTTTCTTGCTCTTTTTCCATACACACATGCACACACACACAGTTCTGGTGCATGGTGGGCTCGTGGCTAAAGTGTGTGCAGATTCAGTGTGTTTTCTGCAGTGTGGGGTTTGTGTAGCGCTGGTTGAAGTGCTGTGTTATAATGCTGGTGAAGCACTATACCAACAATCTGAAACACACAGGATTCAGTGTTTAGGATTCAATCAGAAACACTAGTCTTTCATCAGAGCAGCTTTCGAAACAAATGGAAGCTTTCTTATTTTCCTGATATTGCTCCAACTTTACAGCAGACAAATCTTCAAAACTGTTCATTTAAGACAGAAAGAAATTCAGGTATCAATCTTAAGATGTCTCAGTAACTACTATGCAATATTCATAAGTAATCTGTAAGGTATTTCGTTATTAGAATGAGGAACTGGAGTGTGGACCCTAAAATGGACACTTGGAGATTAAGGGGTTAATGCTGCTAATATTTGGTCAGTATTTAGTCAGAGTCTATTGAGTCACAGCGTGTCTCATTTAAGCTGATGTCCGTCTTTCCAGGCATCATCAAAACAAACATTTCAATAAACTAATCATCACGCTGGACGTTTAAACACCCTCTGCCTCTCTATCTGTCTCTGTCTCTCTCTCTCTGTCTCTCTCTCTCAGGCTCAGAACATGCAGGAAACAATGTGGGCACAAGTGCACAAGAGTTTATAAACACACAAAGAAAAAGGTAGATAAACACAGCTAAAGTACAAAAACACAGTCATAGATGCTCAGTAAAAAAACAGGACCAGCCAAAGGAGCTGTTGTCACTATTATTATTATTATTATTATTATTATACCCCCATGTTGAATTGACCAATAGAAATGCTCTAAAAGCATGTGAAATCAAATATTTTTACTTTAACCTCCATTAAAAGTCAAGAAGGTTTTTTTCACCTGTAGTTATCACTACAGCAGTGACAATATACACTGAGTTGACAGTTTATTGGTTTAGGTTTGCCTGCCTTGTACCTCAATGGCCATTTTATCAGAAACACCTACCATATAGGTGCACTTTGTACAGTAGGTGTACAATCACTGTCATCTAGCCCATGTATTAATGGAAAAGGACCACCACAGGACTGTCACTGACCAGATGTTTTTTGGATGATGGACCATTGTCAGCACAGTAGTGGCACTGACATGGTAGTGATATGGTAGTGTGTGGATGCTGAAGTGACCATCTTTCTGTCTCTTTCTTTTTGTTCCCTCTTTCCAGGTGATTCAGCGAGCAAGCAGCAGGTGGTGCGGTCTCCTCCTGCCTCTGAGAACAGCAGTGCAGCCCACAGCATCGGCAGCACTCAGAGCACCCCCTGCTCTAGCAGCAGCAATGCATAGCACACTTCCTCTTCTCCGGCCGCACCTCCTTTACCCACCGTCAGACCTCCTTTATATTTGGCTACGCTTACTCTGGCCATTCATGACCACACCTTCTGTACCTATAACCACACCTCATTCACATAGGGCCACACCTCTTTTACCTCTGGTCACACTTCATTCACCCTCCTTTTACCCTTGCCTCACTTTCTTTTTCTTCTGGCTCCACTTCCTATTTCCCTTACATTCACTTCCTTTTCCCCAGGCCACACCTCTTTTCCCCAAGCTGCACCCTTTTCCCGTGACCACAGCTCTTTTACCCTGGTGAGGTTTGTTTTTTTCCTTAATATTCTTAGTCTCAGAAGCTTTCTGAAAGGGGAGGAGGACTGAGTGAATTTTGTAGCATGTACAGCAGCAGTAACTGGCTAATTGCTTTGGCTTGGAAGTGGAAGAGCTCACCGTCCTGTCCTAAATGGCATGAGGAGTCAGTCTGAGAATGCAAGCAGCATTTGGAAGACAAATCGGGGATGGAAGATGATAAATGCTGGTGAGAAACCAGCCAGTTTTTACACGCTGCTTTACAGAAAAAAAAGACTACAACAGAGAATTTTGTTTTTACCATATATGGATGGGAAATGTCTGTACATAACAAAGCTTGTTTACCCCAATCATTCTTACTGCGTGGAGGCATCTGGAAGATCAGCCAGCTAGATTGAGGCCGAGACTCCATGTGGTTGCACAACGCTATTCAAAGTGCCAAAGCAAGCGAATAGCTACAAAACTGTGGCCAATCAATAATTAGTACCATGTATGTCTCGTTTCAGGGCAAGAATATTCCAAAATATACAAAAAAAAATGCATATGTCCAGCAAACCACTACATTTGATCTGTTGATTTTCTGTCAATCACACATGCTCCAATGTTTTTACTTGCCACATTTTGCCAGCTCTGCACCCTGTGTTCCTTCCTTAGGTTAAAAATGACTGTCGTTATTGTCATAAGCATCACAGCCACCACAGGACTTTCTCTTGCATTAGCTGGCATTTGCCATCAGTATGTTTTTTTTCAAGCACAGTCTTATAGAATAGTTATTGTAATTTGCATCTTTTGTCATACCAAAAGTGCAGTGATTCAGACTGGAGCTCCAAGGCCAAAACATGCACCCAAGATTCAGCCAAGAATGATTGGTGTAAATGTCTTAAAAGAGACATTCTGGTTTTATCAGATAATAGCATTTATATATAAATGTATTGTAAAATAAAATATATTTTTTTGGTAAAAGTTTATATAAAGAATTTTATGAAAATACTGAAAGTAGCCACGTTATAAATGCATTTGTCTTTATCCTAATGCTATAGATAGTTCAAGCTATTCTCATAAACCATTTATACAGCTTCATTTTTTAATATAAAAGATAGTATAAATGATAATATTTAATAAGAATACATTTAAGAGTCTATTTATTTATTGATGTAAATGTGCATCAGCTATGTACAACAACTTGGCTTTGAAAATATAGCAAGATTAAAACATAATTACAGAAACATGCTTACAGATGATTATTAATAATCCCGTTAATTATTTTATCTCTTAGATAATGAACAGTTACAACAGATGTAATGTGAGAATAATCAACTACTTTGCTTTTGAAGCTTCATAAGCTACTGGCAAAAATAGCAGCAGTTTATATGCATCACTATTGGATCACTGATAGACTCTATAGAGAGTGAACTTATCTGGGCATTATATCAGAAGCCAATGCATTTGTTCAGCAAAGAAGTGGTTTATTTTTGTAGATGTATCCATAGACCACCATGCCTTTTACACACTGTCTCCTTGTAGCTTTATTGCAAACAGTCAACCTTTCCAAAAAGCAACTTGCTAGGTTGGACAAGCTTTACAGAACATTTGCAAAAAACCCAATTTAACCTTGAGAAACTATAATGTACAACTTAGGTTTTGTCAAAATATCTGACTTTACAGTTCACTAGTAATTTCAAGTGATATTTATTATGTATGTGTGGGAAAGGTTACACTGTTAGGACAGATCAGCTGCTGTTATTGTTGTGTAATCTCACTTTGAATCGCTGAATCATTCTCTTACAGTCGTAGGCAAAGGTTTGAACACCCCTAAATTGCATCAAATTGCATGTTCCATTGATTTTCTGCATGAAAATAAGTTAACATGTCCTCTACATATATATATATATATATATATATATATATATATATATATATATATATATATATATATATACAGAGCCTTTTCTGCAAGTGCACAATTTTAATTATTTGCCGAGTTGAATGTCAGAAACAATAAAACATAAAAATGCCCCATTTATATATTTTTTTCCCCACTAATTTAATTTCAGCAAATAAACAGTAATTGTGTGTTACAATGTGTCTATGCAGAGGAGGTGTTAACTTATTTTCACTTTGAAAATCAACAAACGTCATTTGATCAAGAGCAGCCAAACATTTGTATATGACTGTAACTTCATAGCTAAATGTCCATATGTATATGACAAATCCATTTTCGGGCAAATCTCTTTTAGTAACTGTCTACAGTATCAGCTGTACAGTACCAGTAGTGGTGGTAGGCTATAACATTAACTTGCTAGTACATTAAAACAGCTGACTCTACACTTGAACTTTCTGCTTAGCCTGTCAGCCAGATACTTGTTCCAAAAATTCTCAATTTCACAATAAAAAACAGATCTGCCCTAACAGCGTGACCTTTTACATGCATACAACATTAACATCATTTGAAATTAACACTGCACTATAAATGTAGCTATTTTGCCAAAAACTGATTTGTGTCCAACAACTTCTCAGGAAGTTTTTTTGTTTTTGCCAGCATTTTGTAAAGTTTGTCCAACCTAGCAGTTGCTGCAAAAGAATACAGAGCACGGATAGGACAGGTCAGTTCAGATGCAAAAGTCCAATGTTGAAACCAGTGTGCGTCGCAAACATGTAAAAATCTGTTCACAAATGAACAAAATGAACAGTGTATCTGTTAATTGTGGCCCACTGAGCATCGGTGTTCAGATGTTACACTAACATTCCAACCAACTGATACAAAGTCTGCATTGTTATGTGATTGTTTGTTGTATATTTCGTTGTGTGTTATTGATACCGGGCACTTACAGTTTTAATTTGCCTTTGAGTTTTTGCTTATTGTATGTGACGTTTCTTATTATGTGTGAATGCAAAGCAAAGCCAAAACAATCCCACCGTCAAAAGTATACATGAATGTTGAAATATTAAAGGTGCCTTAACTTCAAATCATTGTTGAATACAGTTAGGTGTAGTATTGCGTTTTTTTTTTTTTTTCAAAAAGAAGGGAACTGGTTGGCCTAGTTTGCTTTGTACACTGCATGCAGCGTAGATGTTCGGATGTGAAACCCCGCAAAGTCTGTGCATCTGGGCAGATTTTGATTTGTATCTCATCATAACCGTTCGTTTCTGTGTCGCTAGCTGCAGAATATAGAATGTATTTTATTTCGAAGCTTTTACGTCAGTGTAAACTTGTATAGATGTCTTCTGAGAGAGGAAACAGAGTATGACTATATATTTGTGTATAAAGTTATATTTTTAAAATAGTATGATCTAGAGCCAAGCTATAATTCTAATCGCATACTGTGAATTTTGTGGGCTTCTATAAGAAATGTACTTACAGTGATATGTGACATTTTGACAATCCATGATTATGTGTTCTTTTGTTTTGTTTGTTTTGTTTCCCCCCCTAATGAAAATGTGTTTCCAATGCTGTGATTATTGGTGGGTGATGTTTCCCCTTTTTGCATTGTAAACCATCCATTCCCATTGTAGCATTTTAGCACGTAGATTAACAGTCACTCAGCTTAAATTCTTTGAACATGGCGTTGTGTGTGGTGAATGTGTTTCAGCGTGTATGTGTGTGCGTGTGTATTGTTTTTTGCATTGCTCTTTGTAACAGCTGTATTGTGTCATACATGAATGTTAAAAACTGTGCTGTGTTGTGAAGGGAGGCGTTTCCACTGATTTTCCACAGTTTCAACACAATTCAGAATATGTAAACAAAGTCATTAAGAGTGGTCTGTTGTGAAATTGTGTTTTGTAGAGAAATTGGGATTTCTTTACAGAGGTGGTGATAGGAAGCCTACTTAAATATAGGAAGTCTCCTCAAATAAAGCCATTTTGTTTACTTTTTACAATGGCCAGCGAACCTACATAGGCTTTATATGTAATGTTGATAATGGTAAAATAGAGTTAAATCTGAAAAAGTTTTCTTTAGAGGCGATTTTGCCTTGGCACGCCTATCATGTACCTCTCTGCTATGAAGGTATTTAAAAAATATGTTTCAAGTTATTTCAAAATTATCCTAAAACAAAGGCAGCGTATTCATAACCATTATGTGTAATAACTTTCTGTAAGGGAGATCTGGATGGCATTAAAGTCTTCAGACATCTGGAGAATTCTGACTCATTCAAATTCCCTAGAATGTCTTATTTTGCATCAAACCACTCTGAATGACTATGCATGTGAATTATTTATGTTATATTCCCCTTTAAGTGTTTAATAGTCAGTAAACTTTATTACCATCTTTTAGCACCCAGGCCAGTGTCTCAGTGTGTTTTGGTAACTAAACTACAGACCAAGAGAAAGGCAGCAAACAGTGAGGTCAGCTTCAAAAACATTGTACAGATAGGTAAAACAGAACCAGCATGTTTATTAACATCTAGTTTAACCAAAGAAGCTATTCCAGAGTATTCCATTAGTTTGCAGTGCTGTACTCTTACTGTAGTGTGTTATATGGGAAAAGCCTTCTTCACACTCTGTGTTCATAACAGTGATTTATGTTCTTCACAAACTCAGCTGAGTGAGATGAAGTTTTCAGGATCATCTGAGTGGAGGAATAAGAATCTGATTAGATCTGTGATAAAACTCAGGAGAATCAGCGAGCACTAAACTTATTACTAATCAGTTACTGAACACAATATTACTGCAAATGTCTGAGTAATACACGTATTACTGTCTATTAGCTCTTATAGACAATTTTCATGTTTATTTTTACAAAGTTAGTTCCTTTTGGCCTGTAGTGTATACTCTTACTTGCCACTTTATTGGAAACCGCTCTCTTGTATGTCCTCATTGCTGGTGTCCAGTTCCAGTTAGAGACTGTAGCTCATCTATTGATGCACAGTTTGTATAAGCCATCCTATGTGGTTGCATCAGTGGTTTTCTGGTTTTCATCAGTTTTCTGACCACAGAGCTGGATATTTTTGGGTAGTGGACCATTCTTAATCTAGCAGTGACACTGATGTGTGTGACTACCATGTACCAGTTGTATGCAACAGTTTGAACACTTTTGGTCAAATTACACGTTTTGTTGATTTTCTAAGTGAAAATAAGTTAACACATCCTCTACAGAGAACACACCTAAATATGACTTTTTTATGTCACAATTTGCATTTTTTGCCTAGTTTAAATGTGCCATAACTTTGGACAGGCCACATTCTTTTTTCCAATATGTTAAATTCAGCAAATAGACAGTAATTGTGCATTAAATATGCAGAAGTGTGTTCTCTGTAGAGGACGTGTTAACTTATTTTCACTTTGAAAATCAACAAAATGTGATTTGACTGGGACTGCCCAAACTTTTGGGCAGAAACTAAATAAAAAACAATACAACAAACAGCTGACTCTAACGGCAAGTTTCTAGAGCGCTCTAAGTCAGATATTGTTTGTGTGCTTTTCTTGTCTGAATGTTGGCTGTTATATCTACCTCATATTTGTAGTATGGGTGGGCTTTTTTGTTTGTATGTGTGATTATGTGCTACATGCTTGACTGTTTATGTGTTTGTGATTGTAGGGGTGAATACCTTAGCAGAGTATGTTTTGTTTGATTTATCTCCATTACATATATCACTGTAATGATCACTAAAGGCTGGATGTTTTATCATATCAAATATTAAAGGCCCTCCGTAGTCAGTTTTTTAGCTAACGGAGGCAAACCATCAGCTGTAAATGTGAACTACAATACACTGCAATGCAGCTTTCTAAAGAAGTCAAATCTGTTTCTGCAGCTCGTGCTAATGTTGTTAATTCTGATGTTATGTGAAGCTTTCCTTTTGTTTGTAAATAGATTGTGCTGTAAATGTGCATGCTATGTGAATGTCCTGTATATAAAAAAATAAATTCTTATAATCTTCGTGAAACTTGTTTTTATGTCTGTTTTCAAAATCTGCCCTAGGCCTCACGTCATACCCTTATATAGTGTAATCTTTTGGGAGCAGTCAATGCGGCCTTTGGCTGTGATTTTTCTTAAACGCTCTGTCTTCCAATGTCCATAAATCCTTCTTATTGCATACCATAAGCACTCCCAGTGTTGTAGACATTGTCTCAGAACAACATATGCATTAATAATGTGTTAGCATTGGCTCTAGAAGCAAAACTGCAGTTTTGCGGCATCTCTAGGGTCAGGTCATTACGTGATGCCAACCATGTGCAGATCTGGCTTCATGAGAGCATGCATACCCCCATAAACACACAAACACACACAGGATTGCCTTTTTTTAATAACACCATACATATATATATATATATATTATATATATATATATATATATATATATTATATATTTGTTGAGTTTTGACTGAAGGTTGATCTCTTACTTTCACACAGCATATATATATATATATATATATATATATATATATATATATATATATATATATTCAATAGTCAGGACAAAAAAGCAGGTATTACTTGGGTGGTGGATCATTCTCAACACTGCAGTGACACTGACATGGTGGTGATGTGTTATGTGTTAGTGTATGTTGTGCTGGTAGGAGTGGATCAGACAGCCAACAGTTTCCTGTGGGCAGCATGCTGACCACTGATGAAGGACTAGAGGATGACCAACACAAACACTGCTGAGCTTCTGTTTCTGACTTTACATCTACAAGGTGCACCAACAAAGTGGACAGTGAACCCCAGCAGCACTGCTGTGTCTGATCCACTTGTACCAGTGCAACACACACTAACACACCACCACAACCCTGTCAGTGTCACTGCAGTGCTGAGAATGATCCACCACCCAAATAATACCTGCTCTGTGGTGGTCCTGTGGGGGGCCTGACCATTGAAGAGCAGTGTAAAAGGGAGCTAATAAAGTATGCCCAGCCACATGTACACAGCACAATTTATCTTT